AGAGCAGGCCCTGAGGTCGCAGACATGCAATGGCTACTAATGGGCCAACTAGTCCCTTTGGGGTTCTCCTTCCAAACAGCCTTGCCCCCCTCCCCCCCATAAAGCTTTTAATTGCTGGGACAAAACGTTTAATTGCATTGCATTTTAATGAAATCAGCAGCCCAGCCTGGCTATCAGAGAGAGAGAAAGAGGCCCCAGTTGGCAGGGCGGTGTTAACCGCAGTTTTCCCTCTAAGCTGAGTTAGTGTGAGCCAGCTCACCGTTTTTAGCCTCCAACTCACACCTTTTTGTCTTAGCTCAGGAAGGAGGGCTCCAGAGCAAACTAATTTATGCAGTAGCCAAATCACTCAGACCGATTTCACACCAGAGCCGCCCTCCCTTTGCCCCGCTTCTATTGGTCAATTTGCCACTCGAAGCTGCGCGGCTGCGTTTTGACCCGCGGCTTCGCCTGATTTTCCCCGCGGTTTCGTGATCCTGGTTTTTGCGGCGCAGCTCTTGTGTGAAATCGGTCTCACTCACAACTTTAATGCCAGCAGCTCACAAAGCAGAATTTTTGCTCACAAGACTCCACAGCTTAGAGAGAACATTGGTTAGCGGCCCTGTAAAACACTGCTGTGTGCCCTGGCCACAAAGGCTTATTTGATGTAGTACTGATAGGCTCTTTTTTGGAAGTCCAACTAAAAGTGGAACTTGCGCGATGTGTAAGCTCCAAAAAAGGTGTGCTTTATTAATCCGGTATGGAGATTAAGTAGACTTCAGAGTAAATCATAGAAATTATAATTTTTCAAAAGCGTTGGAACTCGAACTCGAGGGCATCCAATGAAGCTGATGGGCAGTAGGTTCAGGGGAGACAAAAGGAAATACTACTTTACACAGAGAGGGATTAAAATGTGGGATTCACTGCCGGAGGAGGTAGCGACAGCCACAGGAATGGGCAGCTTTAAAAGGGGATTAGATAGATCCATGAAGGACAAGTCTATCAATGGCTACTAGCCAGGGTGGCTGAGGGGAACCTCCACATTCAGAGGCACTAAGCCTCTGAATCCCAGAGCCAAGAGGCAACATCGGGGGAAGGCCTCAGCCTCTACGCTAAGTTGTTGACTGTCCAGAGGAAGTGTGAGACAGGATGCTGGACTAGATGGACAATTGGTCTAATCCATCAGAGGACTATTTGTCTAATGCATTTTATGTTCTTACGAAGGCCTTGGCCTCTATGCCCTGTTGTTGGACCTCCAGGGGAACTGTTGGCAGCAGCCTGGCCACAAAGGCTTATTTGATGTAGTAGTGGTAGGCTCTTTTTGGGGAGTAAGTCCAACTAAAAGTAGAACTTGTGCGATGTGTAAGCTCCAAAAAAAGTGTGCTTTACTAATCCGGTATGGAGATTAAGTAGACTTCAGAGTAAATCATAGAAATTATAATTTTTCGAAAGCATTGGACAGCCACAGGAATGTGCAGCTTTAAAAGGGGATTAGATAGATCCATGAAGGACAAGTCTATCAATGGCTACCTGCCAGGGTGGCTGAGGGGAACCTCCACATTCAGAGGCACTAAGCCTCTGAATCCCAGAGCCA